TTAAATTGTTACAAAATGTTATCACAGGATGCTGTGTTGGTGTGAACAGTAAGTAGACATTTCTTACTTTAGAAACCTTGTAAACCCTAGAGGACATTTTAACAAATACTAACAAATATTTACAACTTACATCAACATACACATACCACAACTTGGAAAAAAGGTAAAGAGAGTTTAGGTAACTGTTGGACCTGCCACACCACCAGAACTACTTGTAACTATGTCTTCCAAATTCCTCTCTAGTACTGTAAGTACATGATTATCTTTCCCTGACTACATTACAGTGCAATTCTGTCTCCTGGATAGTCATAAAACAAATGACCCACTGATTCAATAGCCTATATGAAGAATAGCTGAAAAATTAGATAGTGCATCCCAAGAGAAGAAGTGTAATTTTCATCTGTATCTTTTTTTTAAGTTACAATACTCCTCTTCTCTCTGGCTATATATAGATACAGTACTGTTATCAGCAAATATATTTACAAAATGCAATCAATTCCTAATCAGACCTGGTAACAGAGATCTGAAAAAATGATGTTCACCTTGCAAGCACTACCTTTAGTATTGCAGGAGAAAACTAAAACCCTTAATACACCCAGCCCTACACCATGGCAGTGTAATTACTGAGAGCTCCACATGATCTATCTTGTTCATAGCATTCGCTTTTCAGCATAATGACGATATAAACAGTTACATGAAAGAGATTGAGTATATGTGAACCTGATAATGCCATATAATCTCTTCTGTCAAGATCTAAGCATCACTATCAAGACAGAGAACAAATGCTAAAGTTGCAGTGTGACCTGGGATCTTTTACTGCATTTTGTAAGGGAAAGGATGCTGGAGTGTCCTTATAAATACTAAGAAAGTGACACAATGAAAATTCCTTTACAGCACAATGAAAGCAGATGAAAAGTCTGCTCCCTAGCATTGAATAAGATCATCTCATCACCATCACAAAAAGAGCATAAAACAGTACAAAGCCTTTGAGAATGCTTCCAGGGCTTCCTGATGTTTAATGTATTTTTCTAACAACATAGATGAGAATAAAAAGTACACACAAAATCAGAATGGTTTAGGTTGGAAGGGACCTAAAGACCATCTAGTTCCAACCCTCCTGTCGTGGACAGGGACACTTTCCACTAGACCAGGTTGCTCAGAACCCCATCCAACTGGCCTTGAACACTTCCAGGTATGGGGCAACCACAACTTCTCTAGGCAACTTGTTCCAGTGCCTCACCCCTCTCACAGTAAAGAATTTAATCCTAATATCTAACCTAATCCTGCACTCTGTTGATTTAAAGCCATTACCCCTTGTCTGAACACCCTTGAATATTCTTGATTGGTAGTTGAAAAGGTATTGAAAGCAATGTAGTTTAAACATTTCCTCATGTTCACTTATAATGCCCTTTCAGTTGCACAAATTGCTTGAGTGAATGTCTAGTTTTATTATGTCTTTAGATATGGATATCTAAATCTGACAGATAAATAATTGGCTGAAAGCAGTTCTTACAGTCCTAGATAAGAGTGAAGCTTCTTAGATTGTCTTACAATTGAATTTCCTCAAGTATTATAAGTTGTCAACTACCTCTTTACTCAATTCCATTGTCTGCTTAAATCAATGCTAACCAATATCCTTAGTACTATGAAAACTACAATCTCAGTCAATTATTCCCACAGTTTTCTGAATGCAAGAATGTTTTTTAAAATTGGTATAAAAGGAGTATGTTTTATACAGTAACTATGCTAATTAAGATTAACTCTATGATTTCAAATAAAAGGTTTATGCATTTTTTTCATTATTCATAATAATGTAGAATCTTGTAGTGAGTAAAGGCAAAGAGAGTATTCTTGAAATATTATGACATCTAATTCTTTTTTAGGTGCTGGCCTTGATGGGTTTGAACTGAAAGGCACACAGGTTCTACTTCTAATACTTTTAAATTTAAAAACCTGGACAGGATTCTATCCAGCCATGACACAAAAGATAGATTGGTGTCAATCTGTTCAAATGACTGACTGAAAATGCACTCCATGGTAGAATTCAGCCCAAGGCAAATATACTGTCATCACAAGGACTGATACTTTAAATCACAACAGGTGTTAATTCCTAGACTCAGTGATTAAAAATGTTACATTCATGAAGATCTTTTAGAGAATTAATGGCCCTGGTAGGAGGCTACATTAATATTTGGTCTAAATCCTGTGAGGAGGATCATGTAATCAGTTTATTCTGCAGTTTCCTGAAGAACATCACAACAAATCAAGAAGCTGCATTTCCTCCTAAACCTAAGACTCTCCTACATTTGTAGGAATTCACTGTGCATACCCTAGTTTCACACAATAAGGCTGCCTAAGTGGCCAATAATAAATAGCAAACAAGTTGATGTGTTCCATCAGTTTAAGTAAACACCCAACTGATGTAAATCTGTGCAGCTTTATTATGTCTCTCTTTCAGTCTGGACTAGAAAGGAATGTAAAAGAGGCATTGCACAGGGTGTGCAAAAGCTGCCAGAAGAGCCCACAGAGCATTCCTGGTCTCAAAATAGCTTAGAGGATAACAGAGACAGCTCCAGATAATTTTTCAGATCTGGAACGAAGTGTATTGACTGTCTTACCAATAGAGTAAAGACAAAACTAATTTGGCTTGTGGACTCAAGTGCCACATACCACATTTTATTAATTTACACAACAATACTAACTCATATTGGTTTGTATGATTTTATAGAGGGACAAAATTTAACCACCTCTGCCTATTTTTCCATTTACCTGCTTTTTGCAATGTTTTTCATGTGGGTAGACTTCTGGTACACATTTGCTAGTCCAAACAATACAGAAATTGCAGTACAGTATAGTATTTCCATCTTTTCCTGAGACTTTTCAAGTTAAAAAATAGTCTCTATCCCTTTATTAATACAACAATAAGAGTATGTGCTATAAGAAAGTTGGACTACTGAAATATGGTTTTAAAGGTGTAAAGTTTAGGGGGTTTTGTCCTTAACATATAATTTGTTATGCAATCTATCTGTCTTTCTTTAAGTGTTTACAGAATGTTAATCTTTTTGAGCTGATTTCCTTTTTGTTCAGTTTGGTGCCAAAAAGAACATAAAAGGTTCCATATGAGATTACACAGCTAAAACCAAAAGGAAAATATTAGGAACAAATATAATATTTTGAGGTTTCTTAGTTTGTTTTATTTTTAATACTGAGCAGACTGTTTACACAAATCCTTTTGCTGTAAAGTAACACATAATGAGTTAAATGTGTGCAGTGTCACCATCAATCACATTCATTTGTGTTTGACTGACCAAACATTTATTGCACATTAAATCACTTTCTAATCACGTTATGAAGGAGGCAGAACAAACACACATTTCAAGCTTTCATTAAAAAATAAAGAAGTTTCAGTACATTTTCCTGGCAATCTCCTGACTTGTGGGAAACTCCACCAATAGTATTTGCCCAAGGATTTTATAAAGGCCTGACAATACTTTCAATGTTCTTAATGAAAAGGGGTGAAAGTTCTTTTAGGGAATGGGAATATTTCTCTTCAGTATAGTCCTCTTTAGCAATTTGAATCAATGTAGCTGCTTTGCTACAATACACTTCTGATTCACAGTCACCACTCAGTAAGGTTTTCTTTTCAAGTTTTCAGCGTGAGACAGACATGAAAAAGAACATAACTTCAGCTAAATAAACACATTTTTTGTCATCACCAATAAGGTTGAATTCTCAGAAATATATCTCAGTTCTTATATGTTATTTGGTTTCAGATTTTAAGTTCGCTTTTAAATTTATAGTCAGAGATCTTTGAAAGTCATGATGTGCATTTTATTTGCTAGAAAATTCATTCTTGGTTAAGAGACATATTTTTAACCAGTGCTAACAGGGTATTGCCATCTCAAAGCACTATCTTATGGTATTTTTTTTCTTCCAGTGCCACCTCCCATCTGAAGATGACATTTGAAGTCACACAAGTTAAGGTATGTCTTGCACACTGCTCTGTTTATAACTGTATATAATCATAGATACAAGAGTAAAACTGACATTGATAGCTTTCTCCCAGTCTAATGTATTGTTATTTTTATGTTTATTCTGTGTATATAGAAATTTAATCTGAGCAATACATTGCAAAGCTGAGCCTGCATCTTAAAACTGTTCATCAGTGAGACAGTCTAAACTATTATTGTACTGCAATTCTTATAAGAATATCTTATAAAATAAGAAAACATAGGATTTAAGGTGGATAAGATAATGGCAGAAGTGGTTAGATATATTTCCTGGAAACATAGTACGTTTACTTTTCCAGTTTTTGACTTGTTTAAATGTTTTCGCTGCAAATTCAGGCCATAAATATGTGCTTCTCTAGCACAGTTCTCTCATAGTCAAACATTTGTACACTTTATCATTTTGTGAACCTCTCCATTTTCTAACTACAAATTTAAAATCAGTATTAAAATAACTTGAATTAAGACTGAGGAGAAGCAAATATATGAATGATGTTATGGGAGGTTCAGGCTTTGGTTCTAACGTATTTTATTTACTCACAGTCAGAAGTTCTCCAGTCACTTGATGTAAAAGACCAAAATGACAAGTTCCTTTTTCTGGGCACTTTGCTGCTACATGGAACTTACATAAATCATATTTTTGTTTTAGCAGCAGTGACTTTTCTCATAGATAAACATATGGTTTGTCCAAAATCAAGCAAAAACACCAAGCACCAGAAATATCTCTCTAGTAATGGATGCTGCTGTGGAAAATCATTGTAAGGCCAGACGCTTGCCGAATAAAAATAGAAACATAACTTGACAGAATCTGGTTTATTGCCTAATTTGCAGCAGAAAACTTTTTTATGGGAAGTGTGTGCTGGTTTTTTTCACTCTTACAAAATCTGTTGATGTCTTCCTATCTGCTTCACATTTGAGTGAGTCATATTCTCTACTCAACTCTCTGACAACCTGAATTGCAGACTAATATATTCTAATGAGACAAGACATTACCTTTATGAATGACCTCATAGAAAAGAGGTTGGCTAACATTGTTGAAAGGCCTGGTGCCAGGCAGCTCTGGGCTATGAAACCCAGTTTGAGCTCAGCAAGACAGATTGCATCATCCCCTTCTTTCCAGTTCCAACTTGGGATATTTAGCAGATGGGCCTGGAAAACAAACAAAATATCCCCCAGGTGAGTAACCAGAAATACTTCCTGAAATACAAGTATGATATTGAAGAAGATAGCAGTGAATGACTTTCTCTGTTAATAGATTAATGTTTTCTGAGTAGGCAGAAGCCCTTCAAGTATTTCAGAGTTTAATTCTGTGCAAAGAAGTGTTCCGCTCTTACATATTTCAGACAAAATCTTACATTTCTCAAGATACATATGCTGGCTTTGACACTCTGTCAGGCCCATCCTCACACCTGAAGAAACATAATATTGTAAAGTTTTCCTTCCCTTCTGTGTATTCCTTTCACAGCACTTTGAGCTACAGTCTGACTGATAAGGAACACACATAGTATACAGGACACTAATATAACTTAGATTAGAACACATGTAAAGCTGCAACCTTTATTGGACATTGTCATTTAAAAAGACATATAACATCTTCTGTCTTTTCTATTTAATTTCTTCCACCCTGGAGTATAGCACTTGACAGAGAAAATCCAAATTTTTTTCTGATTGATTCTTATAAGGATAGAATGAAGAAAATAGAAGATCAAGACACACATCCAATATTGACACTGCTCAGTTATAGAGGTATAAATATTGTTCAGTTATTGGTGTAACTCTGTTGGATTTTCTTTTACATGTACCTTCTACATTTGCATAGACATAAGGAAACACCAAGGCATTCATTCTTGTTTCCCTTCCTAAGTTAATACCACAGTTCAGCACTTTGATACAAGCTATTCTTGAAGACACATTCACTGGAATATCAAACAAAAACTTCAGTATTTAAAAGATCTCTCCTTCTGAACCTGTTTAAAGCAGAGAAATACCTTGCTTTTAATCTATAAAAAACCAGGCTTCTTCCATAACATACAGGAAGAGGACATAACAAGCAACAGTAATCACTCTTGGTATAGCTAAAGGTTACAGTTGTAAGGAGTTATTAGTAAACCTCCTTACTATGAGATTTATTCTGTATTTCACTGAATAAAGGTCTACCCAGTCAAACTTCTTCTCAAACACTGGGCAGTGGTTGATTTTTTTAGAAATAATAAAAGAAGCAGGTCACATATGAGTAGTCTGTTCTCTGATATATTCTTCCTAACCCAGATGGACAGCTGTTTACGGACTTCCTCATCTCAGGATTGAAAAATTGACTTCACTGCGTTTAAAGGCCACAAATTTGCATCAAAAAATTTTCCAAATTACTTTCAAAAGTGGATTTATAATTTTGAACTCCACAGTATTTATAGCAGCAAGTTCCACAACTGAACTATGTTTTATATGAATGTATATTATTGTAATGCATATGAATGTAATACTATTTATTTTGTGCCTGCTGTTTGGCAATTTCAGGTCTACATTGTCATGTCATAATAAAAAAATCACAATAATCTCCCATAAGACAATAATAACTACTTGGTTTTTTGTTTTGTTTTGGGTTTTTTTATGAACAAAGAACTGATTTCAGATGAATTGCCTAGAGGCCACCAATCCAACCTGAGTAATTCTAGCATAATAAACTATGCAAAACCTACAGAAGTTAGACGGTTAAAAGTTAATCTGGAATCAATAGCAACTATGGACACTTTAGCTTTGAGAATTAGATCCTAGGGAACTAATAAATGTCAAGATTTTAATAAATTCACGTGCATATATAAATAAAACTGAATTACTTTGTACTAGATTACATGACAAGGCTTATTAGGATGTTTTACTTTGGAAAGAAAAATGCTTACTTTAGTGAAATTAGAAAAATTATGTAGGAGTGAATGCAACGTAGCAAAAAACTGAAGAGAAATATTGTTGGTCATCACATTACCTTATTGTGATACTGCAACATCTGAGTGATAATTCTTATCTTCGGATGATAATTCTTTATAGAAATAACTCTAAAAAGAAGAGGAAAAAACTAATAAAGCACCTTTTAACTGATAGGATATTTAGATAATACATCCAAATAATTCTACTTCACTGTGTTTTCAAGTCCCACAATTAAAATCGTTTTACATCCATCTGGCTGTAAAATATATTGATTGAAGTCAGAACTATGCAATATTTACAACCTAGTCAAATTGACTTAATAACTAGTGGTTGATAATAGAGAAAAACAAACTTCAGGAAATATTCAGTTGAATGTTTTGCTTTTATGGAGTTTGCAGAAAAAGACACTTGTTTTAGCAAATTTGTTCATATACTCCATTTATTCTCCCAGGAAAATAACACACTTGGAATTATTCAGTTCTTGTGTTCTTCATTCAGTTCTTTATGTCTTTGCATCAACATAATTGATCAAGTTTTCCACTTATACGTGTCTGAAAAAATCCCCTTCTTCCCCATCACATATTATTTACTTATAGTTGCTAGACATTCATCATATGTAAATATCTCAAATAATGATTTTACACATGCAAATTCATCTTAATTTTTATGCACTATTCCAAAGCTCAACATCAAAATTGATATCTGAACACTGAATTTATAAAATATGGGGCTGCTTTCATAATCTGCAGCTTCTCTGCATTTTTAATTACTTCACAAGCATAAGATATACTCAACTGTGTATAGATTTTAAGTGGATGGAAAAAAATTGTTTGAGAAATGCTACAAAAAAGCATTGAAAAAAACTAAAGAGATGAACAGGTTTAAAACAGTTTTGTATTTACAAACTAAAGGTAGAGAAAGAAGATAGAATTATTAAAAAAAAAATCGGACTTATTAAGGAACTATCAGTCTCAAAAGACTGGATGCTATAAGTGTTTACATCAGTGTTTTGTAGAAAGTATCTTGCAAACTGCTGATCTGGCTTATGCTTTGAAGCATATCAAAGCTAGGATGGGAAACATAAAAAAATTGCATTACTTTAACAAGTCTTCCTTCTAATTTTCCCTTTCTTGTTGACTTGTTTAATTAAACATTCAGTTTTTTGAATTATATTGTGAGAAAACACAAGAGAATTCCACTCTCAAATTACACTTTTGCATTTTATTACATTAAATGTATTAAATCTATTAAGAATTCACTAATCTCCAACATGAGTATTTTTAATATATTTATGCAATCAATGTCAAAATAAAGTTTCTTGCACTGCAAGTCACACCAAGCCTGTAAAATGAAATTAGCCATATTTAAGCCCTGCATCTTCCTCAGACAGTCACATCTCTTGAACACAGTGGAAGTTTTCCAGAGGAGCAATTTTATAACTACTTTTTCATTTCTACCCTTCCTTCAATACACAGCATGCAAACATCTGACAAGCCAATCACATCTGTTCATAACACTGGTCAATCCAATGATAGAGAACTTCTAATGAATCTGTCTCATTAAAAAAAGAGTTGGATGAACAAAACATAAAACATGGAATGGTATAGGTTTGTTGTAACTCTAGCTGCCATCTACTGACTGACTGTTTCATCTCCTTCCTTCAGAGACTTCAAGGAGGGAAGTAGGAGGAGATCTAGTGGTCCCTATTGTGGTAAAAGGCTTGTCAATCAAAATAAGCAATGATTGGTCTTCAGTGTAAAAAAAGCAGGATGAAGATAGAAGACCACTCTACTGTATACTTTGCTATGCCCTGAGCAGCACATTGTTTGTGGGTGCAGATACACCAGGGAGAAACAAGGTGTGAAGTGATGAAATATCCTTTTGTCTCATCATTAACAGCAGCCCATGCAGTACAGGCACTCTCGTAACATATTACTGCAACAACATAACTGCATTCCCCTTCCTCTCTCCATTCAACTATGAATACTCAACCTTAGGCTCTGCAAAATTACTAAGAGTACCAAAGCTTGTGCTCCAAATGTCTCTTCTGACACACAATAAAGCAGCTAAATAAAACATTTAGGTAGGAATTGAGGTTATTCTCACCTCTGAACTTTTGTGACACTTTTAATATGTCCAAAAAGAAAAAATCCTACAATGTTCTTTAAGTGCAACAGATCAGAAAATTATCTAATCTGAGTAAAGAACCAAAAAGCTATTAAAAACTCCAGAGTTTACCTCATAATATTGGAGGCATCTTCAGCATCTGGGTCAGCGCAGTATTTATTGGCAAGGATTAGGCACGCATCTGCTGACTCTATCTGAGACACCAAAGACAAAGCAAACATATATAGCAATGACTCTTTCCAGCTCTTCTTTCATCATAAAGTATCAGGGAATCCAGCACTGCCATTCTGATTGTGAGTGTCAGCTCTTAATAATGCTAACCAAAAACATTACTAGGCTAACGTGAGTTAATGTGAGTGATTATAACTGCTCTCATACACACATAGCAATTTCTTGAAACTTGATTATGATGATCAGAGCAGGTTAGTAGTTCAATTGTCAACTCTTACTTTGCATCAGCTGAGCCATGAAGGTGTTGACATTAATCTTCTGTATTATTGGAATTTGGATCCCTCAATCCATATGAAGTTCCTGTTACATCACTATAGGGTTCCCAGAAGTCCTGCAGCTTTTTTTTGGGAATTTAAGTACCTTCCAATTATAGACAGGAAGATGAGGCTGAACTGATGATTTAGAATCTGAGTACAAGATTTAGAAAGTAAGAGGAAGACAATTGATCTGTTCAGAAGAGCTCTAGATTCAGAAAAACTTTAGCTTTCGAGAACTCAAAGCATATGAAGAAAGTATTTTTCAGTGTATACAACCAACTATCAACACAAATAAGGGTGGAATACAGAACACAAAATACGAACACACAATTTTATGGTCGTAATTAGAACATGTTCTGATGAACTGAAATTGTGTGCACTGAGCTACAAAAGGTTAAGCAGTTTCTGCAGCCAAAATGGACAAAAGACATAATTAGAACTCCAGAAAGGATTAACAACACTGTGCTAAAATACTTTTGGTTTAAGTAGCCAGTTTACATTCCACTGGGGGTTAAAAAAATAGAAACAAAAAAGTTGATGTATCTAGACGATAAAACTATCTAATTTCAGCTTAATTCTCAAAAAATCTTACAATGTATTTTTCTTCCAGTATTCCAGACAATATAAAAAGGTTCAGCAGGTGAAAAATATTTTTAATTGTTCTGATCAGTTAAGACAATAGTATTTTAAGCAGTAAGGCAATGTTCTGCTGTATCAAATAATAATGTAAAATAGACTCTTGAAACCTCAATGAAAACATGCATAAAGAGTTTAATGGAATGGTAGACTGTGTCTTAAGTCACTGTTACTGTAGTTTTGAAGATCTAAAGATATAGGTGAAAAAACGTTTACAAGGTTTATATAATTTATTAGTTTACATAATTTATTAGTCAAGCTAATAGAGATGGAAAACCAATCTTTTGGGGTTAAATGAAGAAGGGTTTTACTGTTTGGTTGGTTTTGGTTTTGTTTTTTTTTTCCAAATAACACAAAGAATAACTTCAAAAAAGTCACTTAGCAGGAGAACAAAACAACAGAGCTGTTACCTTCACTCTTGCCAGGTCATGGGGATTAAGGACTGAACCCTGATAAAATTCCACCTGAGTGAAGTGTCGTTTAAAAAGAGCTTCCAGCTCAAGGTTAGGGGAGATACTGCATTGGGAAGAGGAAAGAAAACACAAGAGCAAATGAGAAATCAGCTTCCATAAATGCCCCCCATTTCCTTCATTTACAAACCCACACATTTATTACTTCTGCTGATGCTTTTTCTGTGATGTGAAAACTTCACACTTTTAAGTGTGTGCAATACTTAGAAGATAAACACTGTATTGCTTTCACTTCCTTATTTCTGTCCACAGTGCTTCTGGCTCACTTCATTGTGCTTCGTTCATTGTTTGTCAATTTCTTACACATACGAATCCAGAAGTATGGGTGCAAACATTTGAAAATATCCTCTCACAGCATTCTGCCCAGAATTTATCTAGTAACACAATCATTCTCTGCATGTCCTTACCATTCTCAAAATGGTAGACTGCACTGAATAAAAGAGCTCAACCCAAAAATCACTAAAAACTAGATAAAGAAGCTCTATAGGAATCCTGTGGCCTGTATGAGCTGCAAATAAAACAAGCATAATGATACTGTGACCTTCTGCCTCATTTCATTTTGCCAGAAACAAAAGAAAAATTAAATGGATCACAGTCAATTACATAATGTGGCACCAACCTCATAAATATCTGTTCTGATGCCACTCATTAAAACAGAAGGGATTTAATAGCTTCACAGTAAGTGCATGAGATCTTTGCCATGCCAAATGCTAAATTTAATAAGAAAATAAAACAGATACATGCAAGTATTTGTCTGTGAAGGTACAGAAGAGAGCAGGCACAAACAAGTAGCAAGGCGCTAAACTCCTTTCATGTAAATGTGCAGTTTCCTGATTCTTATCAACACATATTTTCACTGTGGAAATCAGGATCTTCAATTCCCCTCACAGTTCTTGTTATTACAGAGAGAGAAGGTGCAAACAAACGATGTGGTTATGTGAGGATATCATCTCTAGTTCAATTTGAAAAGACTAGATGATAAAATTGTGTAAGTGCTGCTGACTCTTGCTTTTCAGTTTCCATTCTTAAATCATCACATATGATTCCTTAACTTTGTAATAATTTTCTTTGACAAAAAGTGCTGAACGTGCTCTGAATGCAAAAATATTACTCATTCAGAGCTAGCAACACTTCTAAACAGATGCCATTCCAGAGTAGAAAAGACCTTTTCATACTGTCTCCTATCACATGGCTTTTTCTAGTAACTTCTCCCCTAAGTATTCCTATTTGGTATTGTATTACACATAATGTAGAGCCTGCAAGAAGCAATAACCATCTTCAGACACCTTTCCAAATTCCACATCAGAAAAAGATAAGAGACTATGTGTGTGTAGGCAGGTATATATGGGTAAAAGAGCAGTATTAATTATCACTGTGATAAGAATTTAATTTCTATCTTCAACATATCTGTAATGTATCTCATTTATATTAAAATTAAATCCACACCAACGTTTTTCTTTTTATAAATACTTTATAATAAGAAATAAACATTTTTTCTAGACAAATCCAAGGTGCAAATGTACTAGCATAAGTTCATATGGCATAGAGTGGTTTTCTTTAGTTTTACTTATGTTAGTAATTTAGGTAGTTTCTCCATAAATATTTACCACTAAAAAGAATTCTCTCATATATTAATTAGCATTCCAATATATTTTATTTCATAACTCCACTCCCACTTGAACTATTTGTTTAGCTATCTACCTCACAGATGACACAACTGGGTCTGAAGCCTATCTGTTTGAAACACATATACTTAGCTATGGGTCATCAAAAATGCAGAAAACAACTATTTTTCAAAACATATTGTTAATAACAGTAATTGAAAAGATTAATTTTATGGTTAGTTGGAGCTTGAAAGATTTTCTGTCTTCCCATAAGATCAGTCTTAATTCAATAAGTTTTAGTAACTGATGATAGGACTAATCTTGAAAGATTACTCACTTATGCAGAAAGACGATTTCTACGTTGACATCATCCCTATCCTTGTGCAGGAAGTCCTTCAGGAAGTTGGACACACTTTCAAGTGTTATGTGACCACAGACAACTATGTGCCTGTTACAGAAAAATCAGAGTTAATCTTGAAAAGAAGGCAATACAAACAAGCAAGAAAGCAGAAATGGAAATGATCACTTATTGGGAAAAAAAAAAAAAAAAAAGTATTAGTCTCTTCTTGACGTTTTTCTAGATTGTATTCCTTGAAGTCAGAGGAAGAAAATATCACTTCCGAAAGGTATTTTGCAATTGTAAATATATATACACTCTCACCTGCAAAGCCATTTGGACACATATTACACACTTAACAATAAATGGCATCAGTTATATATAAGTTTATCCACCATATTAACCAGTCCTTTTCAAAGGCATATTTATTTATTTTACACTTCTCTCTACACATTTTTACCTCCTCTAATGAGATTTACTGTTCAAATTTTTGGTTTATGACAGCAAATCTCCCTTAAATGATTTGATATTTTTCTACAGTTGAAGCAGATATTCATGGCAATGAAGGCAGTGAAAAGCTTGCCAATTATAGGCCATAGGCAGTAAAAAAGAAATATTTTTCCTACCATAACTCCTAGAGGGAAAGTACTTTACAATAAGAAGTCATTACTTATTTCACCATTGCAAGAGATTGCTTAGAAAATCAAAGTTTGTATAGATTGCGATGTCAGAAAGGTTTCTACTTCTCCACATTTTCATTACTAGATGTAGCTGACCATGGAAGATGGAAGCACAACATTTACCTACATACACATTCTTGAATTCTACATCTTAAATTTTAAAAGGCTGAAGGAAAGGCCTAGGAAATTGCACTCTTCCTGACTTAAGGGCTCTTTGCTCCTTTATTATTGTAAAAACAAAGTCCACAAATTTATGATCAGAATATCCCAAAATGTCTCACAATTTCCTTCATGGAAAAAAAATCAAATCCAGCTTACATTACTGTCATGGGTTTAAGACAGATAGTGATTTTTGCTATGCCTATTGCTAACACTTCCAATAACCACACTGCACACAGAAGTTAGGAAGAGAAAAGGTGGCATGGTTACCATTTCTGAAGTAACAGAAAATCACCTTCATTACTGTCATATAGTCTATGCACAAACACTACAAACACACAATTCTGCACATGTTTGGCACTTGAACTACTAAATGTGAAGCAAAGTAATTCCAAGATTACGAAGTAGACCACCCAGGTCTCAGCTACTTCATAATTCTTCTGTGTAAAATTCAGTAACACAGAAACCTCATTGTGAGGAAACCACAGATAATATGTTGCAGCAATGATTACCTATGTAATGGACTATAATAGGAGTCTTTCCTTGCTTCATAATTTGATCCTTGATGAAATGTGTGTGAAAAGAACATCGAACTCATTGGAAAAGGGATAACTATGCAGAACAGATCAATAGTAGTAATATGCATTGTGCAGTGATTATTATCACTATCAGGTACTGTTACTTCTGCAGTGTCTCAGACAGTGACTAGAAAAGCAAAACACAATAAACTGTTATACCAGTCCAGCAGACCTTGTGATATTGTTTACTATCATCACTTTTCTGGTATAGCACAGTGTTAAACATTTATATAGAAATATGATAATATTCCTTTTGCATGAGCTCTTAATGACAGCGTCAGGACTCAAATGCAATTTTAGAAATAGCAGTGGTCTAAAACTTCAATGGTTTGCTTCTATTTTATAGGTAAGAAATCGATGTCTATAGGAGACTCTGATCATGCTGGTTTGCATTTAACATAGGACTCAACACTATGAATGTTTATTGCTAAAATAGCTAAAAGTGTCTGTTTTGCCTTTTTTTTTTTTTTTTTTTAACAGAAGTTTTAGGTGCAGTAAGTGCACAAAGCACCAAGTCCTTTGACTGCAAACTCTTAAAAACACAAAAAACCCTGAGTTAAAGCTTTCCTGTTTTATGAGATGGTATACACACTATCAGAACACAAGACGTAAAATATATCAGGTCATCCTTTCTTCTTGGTGCAAGAGGTCCTTAAGAGGTTTCTTCTGGGAGCTTTGTAAATTGGCAGGGTTTCCAGTAGGCTCTGCACTGCCTCTATTACCCCTACCAGAAGCACTCTTTCTCTGTTTCCCTAATGGTCAGTTGCCTGAGTTGCCAGAGATGGGCATTCATGTGTGTTATTGCACTGAGGGTATAAGTAATATATCAATGTAAATGCAAAACCTCAGGAAACTTCAGATTCTGAAGAAATGTTAAAAACCTTAGTAGTTTACTAGATCTAAATTCTGAACAGATTGTGTTTGATACACTACATTACAGTAACCTACTGGGAAGCTCTTGCTGTCTAATGGTATTCAACACTTTTCCTAAGTGCAAACCTATCTAGCACCAAAAACCTCAATGGTCCAAGAAAATGATAAATAGCAGTTAAAAAATTTAATTTATATTCTTTATACTGCCTATACACATTTTCCAAGATGACAGACTTTAAACTATGGGTATTGTTTTCTTCAGATGTTTCCAGCTATTACTAATTAAGAAACTGAACTTTCCATTTGCATAGTTGATGCATTGTTTTTGGTAGTAGAAAAAATTTTCTATGATAGGGAACTCCATTGTACAGACCCCGTGCTGTTGGCTTCAGCAGAGTCTCTTCTTGAAGGCTCTTCTGATACCCTGCATTCCTGTGCAGATAACTTTTTTGCTCTGTGGTTGATTTCACTTAATATTGGTTCTTTTCTGCCATTGATTAGAATCCACACCTTTAAAGTATAGCTGTGCAACCCAAAATATTGTATTGCAGAAGAAATCACCACAGTATCAAAAGACTACAAGATAATTTATGTTATAAAATACCTCCACAGGTTATTTACTACAAAAAACTCCTGCTAAATGCAGATGCAATTGGTACAATCCTGTTATGACTGTCACTGAGTAGGGATTCATAGCAATCTGCTACAGTGAAAATAAAACATTTGGCTGTCAAAGACTCTTGCATTTGGGCATCAGGGCTAATTCTTTCTGAGGTGTTGGAAAGCATCTGCACTATGCTTTCAGTTTTCACTCTGATTTAGAGCTGGGTATGATCTATTCTTCTCTTCTTTGCTGTTCTTATAATGTGCAAGGCAGTGTCCTGAATGGTGTCTGCAACAAAACCTCCTGGCTTTCAAACAGTATTTTCTGATGAGATATTTGCATTAATTTTTGGTTGAAAACTCACACAAAAAAACCCTTTCTTTAGCATAAATTATATTTTTTGCTTAGAAGTAGAAGATATTGAAAACAGATTTCCTACTTGCCCACAGAGAGTTTTTAGGTACACCATTTAAGAAAACTTGGAGAGCTTATATTGTTTCAATCTGTCCTGTATAGGATTTAAAGATTTATAACTTCCTCTGTTTGTTTCAATAACCATTCCCTTCCCTTTTTTCTTTTTTTTTAACCACTCATTTTTTCAATGCACTGAGACTTTAAGTAGAGCCAACATACTGGGTAACCTTTCATTGTGAAAGAGTCGGTTAGTAGAAAAACTTTGTATGAAAAATACTGAGTCAAACAAAATGTCTAACATCTGCATTAAGCTTTTTCTTAAAAGGCTAAAAAGTAATACTTTATTGTGCTTTCAATTTTTTTTTTTTTTTATTCTTTAAAAACAAAATTTAGACATTTCCTTACCATACTGAAAAAATATGATTTAGGAATTCAGACATTTTTATTACTGTCACATTTTTAGGAGGACTAAGGTTTCTGTTAAGTAATAGTTGTCATTGGTATCATGTATTAGAGGTGAAACTGGTTTAATATACCAATGGGAGCCCATATTACCAGACTGTGATGCTGCAAAAGAAATCTTTTACAAAGAATCAAAAGCTTATTAGGAATGATATTCTATCAGCAAAGATGGACTAATCCACTCTCTCCCACATATATTTATCATCCTCAAAATTATTTTGAGAAATATAAAAAACCCAAAAGTATTTCAAAAATGAAAAATTGACACAATTATACACAATTTAGTACACGGTGGTACACAACTGTGATTCTACACAGTTAAAATTCCCTCCAGTACCTAATTTTTTTCCTACTTGAGTATTGACATAATGATACTTTTGCTAAAAATACTCCAGCTTCTTACAAAGTAAACAAAAAATGGTGATATAAGATCCTATGCTACCACAGATACAAACCATTTCAGTAAGACAAAAAATGAAATAAGCAAAAGCTAAAACATCTAGATATCTGACATAATTGAGAGCATACACTTAATCCATGTAAATAGGACTGTAAATGAAAACAGATCCACTGTGAATGGGATTCTTTACAATGGATCTTTGAATGTTTCTTTCTTCAGAGGACACAATACAAAAGGCAAATCTTTTGCCTGTTTATTTTGAAAGAAATTATATCCATTTTATTGGAACAAGTATAAAGAACTTGAAAAAATTCACTCCAACTAGTCTGTCACAATAAATCAAGGATAATAAATACAAAATTCTGTTCAGTTGAATACTTGGTGTTCACTTGTCAAGTAACTAGAAGAAGTGTGGTGCATATTGATCTAGATGTCTCTATAAAATTATATTTATATCAAATACATATGTTCACATGCCTTCCCGGTCTTTCTGCTTAGCATTTTGATCGTTCCTTCATCTATCAACCATCTAAATTCTTTGTGTATATACGAGTAGCAGACTGCTGTGGTTGCAGTAAACAGGTTCTTGTAAAGTCTAAGAGGCTTTGCTCAAAAAAGGATGGGTCTCAGTCTCATCTTCTTATTGAAAAAAAATAATTAATAAATGTTAACAGAGACTGTGTATATGGTCTGGTTGTTTATCTATTAGTGGTATGCATTCTTAAACGTAACAGTTTACAGTGTTTCCACCCAGTTGTGCTATTCATGGTTTACCTAACATTACTCAAGATTGTTAATTCAGTTCAAAACTTTATGCATGTGCTTACGTGTCTTTCTCTTATTTCAATATAAAATCCCCTCTCAGATTAATACTGTTGGAGTAATAAGTGCTGTGTAGCCACAATTTGAATTTTTTCTCTTTTTTTTTCATAGAAGACTTG